TTCCTTCCTTCCTTCCTTCCTTCCTTCCTTTTTCCCCTGAAATCAACCTTGGCCACTTCCTCCTCTTTAAACTCTACCTACTTTTGTCGAAGATGGCTTCCGAGAGGACAGGATTCAGATGCCATGTTTTCCCCATGGAGTCCTGATAAGAGGCCTGGAAACAGATCCGGACCACGTTCATGTCTACCTCTTGATGATTCTTCAGTGAACCAGCTACACAGAAAGAGCAAGAGAGGATAGGTGGACCAAGCATAGCACACAGCAGAATACTCGTACATAGCATGCATACAGAAAAAACAAAACCAGCCCCCAGGACAGTGGTTTTTAACCTGGGATTCATTCAGCACATCCTAGCCAGGGGTAGGCAACCTTGGCTCTTTTATGACTCGTGGACTTCAACTCCCAGAATTCCTGAGCCAACATGGCTCAGCATGGAAACCTCTCCCTTTCCCCTCAGGGTGGCTGGCTGAGGAATTCTGGGAGTTGAAGTCCACGAGTCATGAAGGGGCCAAAGTTTCCCTCATGCTGGCTCAGGAATTCTGGGAGTTGAAGTCCATGAGTCATGAAGGGGCCAAAGGTTTCCCCCAGGCTGGCTCAGGAATTCTGGGAGTTGAAGTCCACGAGTCATAAAAGAGCCAAGGTTGCCTACCCCTGTCCTAGGCGAAATCAAGAAATTTGTTATTGTGGTGAATTAAGGATCCAGCTTGGAACTACCACTGCTGAGATGCCTGTGTAAAACAACTGAGTCTGGGTTGTGTACTGTGTGTATGTGTGTGTGCGCGTGCATAGTGACATTATTTGAGACCAGGGAAAGGAATATGTATGTGTTTATTTATTTCCACATTTCTGTACCATTCACTTCCCTCAAAGAGGGACTTCCCCTTTTTTTGGGTAGGTCATAACTTGGAACAGATGCTAAGCAACCGGTCATAAGTTGAGGACTCACTGCATGAGAAACCAACTTCATTGCTTTCTCCCCCTTCGCTTGTCAAGGCTTATTTTGGGCCAGAGAGAGAGTTCTTCTCCTCACCTTTGAAAGGGTCAATTCCAAGTTGTAGCTTTTTCTCGATGGCTTCCTCTATGTCTTTCTTCTTCACACACTGGATCCCGAGGTTGTTAAAGCTATCAAAGCAGAGGACAGTTGGAATGTTAGATTAGAATATCAGAATCTTCTTTATTGGCCAAGTGTGATTGGACGCAAAGGAATTGGCCTCTGGTGCACAGTATCCCAGGGTGCATACAAGCAAGCGATAAGTCATCGATCGTAAATCATAAGATAACACCATAAATCGTTAAGATACAAACAACAAGCGATAAACCGTAAGATGCCAACAGGAGATGGTGGTAGGAAAGATGAGAAGATGAAAAAGATGAGAAGATGGATAAGATGCGAAAAGGAGGGGGACAACAGCCATGCAGCCCTACTACCTGTACATGGGTAAATATCTTTGGGCCTAAGATTGTGCTGTGTTAGGTGTTTAGCAGAGTGATGGCACGGGGGGGGGGGAATAATTTTCTTTGAGTGTTGTTATTTTGGCATGCAATTGCCCTATATAGCAGCATCCTGGGAGGAGACGTTGAAACAGTTTATGTCCAGGATATGAGAAAAGAGAAAGTCCACGATGAAAGGAAGGAACTTACAAAAATCCTTTTGTAAGTTCTTGAATTACGACAATTGAATCCAAACTTTCCACTGTTAAGTGAGATATAGCAGTGTTCCAATATCTGAGGGGCTGCCACAAAGAAGAGGGAGTCAAGCACTGAAGGCAGGACAAGAAGTAACAGATGGACATTCCTCCTTAATTCCAGGTTGCTTCTCTCCTAGATGAGTTTCCATCCGTTGCTTCTTGTCCTGCCTTCAGGGGCTTTGGAGAATAGCTTGACCCCCTCCTCCTTATGGTAGCCTCTCAAATAATGGAATGCTGCTATCATGTCATCCCCCTAGTCCTTCTTTTCTCTAGACTGGCCATACCCAAATCCGGCAACCGTCCTTTATATGTTGTTAGTCTTCAGGCCTTTAATCATCTTAGTTGCGCTTCTCTGCACTTTTTCCAAAGTCTCAACATCTTTGGAAAAAGTACAAAGAAGAGCAACGAAGATGATTAAAGGCATGGCGACTAAAAACATAGGAAGGACGGTGTCATGTGTCTGATTAACGAAACACTTAAAAGGACTTTCAGGCATATTTTTTCCTAAAAGCATTTATTAAGGTTACAGAGACGTCAGTACAGCATGGTGGAAATGCTTAGGTCTGGCTTCTCTTCCCTTACGCATATACATTCTAAGCATTTCCCACTCCCTTATTTTGGGGTCATGGTTCACATCTTCCAATCAACTTGGAAGATGTGATTTACTTCCGGTTTCTTTTTCCCGGGCTATCCTTATTCTCCCTTTTTCCCTGTTGCCTGGTTTAACTATAAAAATACCAGACAGTGCTGCATATTGTCAAAGCAAGAATATACAGTATTTGCAGCGTTGACAGACGGTTGCCGGATTTGGGTATGGCCGGGGGTACACCATTGGGTATACCTCAATGGTGTGAAGGCCCCCAAATCAATGGCCATCATCGTTTCAAAAGTCCAAATGCTCCACCCCAAAGACAGGGCCATACCTGTGCCTGGCATTGATTCGAGGCTTCAGGATCACTTCGCACAGCCCGTTGTTGCAGTCCTTGCCTACCAGGCTGTGGGGGTGGATCCGATAAGGCCAGTCCTTCCAGACCAAGCAAGCGGTCACTTTCACTTCCGGGATGCCCTCAAAGTTCTGCAGCTGGAGAAACAACCTGGTGTGTCAGATGCCACCCCCGAGAAAAGTTCAAGGCTATCCGTGGTGGCGCAATGGTTAGATTGCAGCATGGCAGGCTAACTCTGCCTACAGTTCGATCTTGACCGGCTCAAGTTTGACTCAGCCTTCCAACCTTCCCAGGTTGGTAAAATGAGGACCCAGATTGTTGGGAGCAAATATGCTGACTCTGTAAACCACTTAGAGAGGGCTGTAAAGCACTGTGAAGCGGTATACAAGTCTTAAGTGCTATTGCTTTTCCTTCCTTCCTTCCTTCCTTCCTTCCTTCCTTCCTTCCTTCCTTCCTTCCTTCCTTCCTTCCTTCCTATGTGATGGTGAAGTGCTTAGAATACAGTATTGCAGGCAAACTCTGCCCATAGCCTGGCGTTCGATCCTGACTGGCTCAAGGTTGACTCAGCCTTCCACCCTTCCCAGGTTGGTAAAATGAGGACCCAGATTGTTGGGAGCAAATATGCTGACTCTGTAAACTGCTTAAAGAGGGCTGTAAAGCATTGTGAAGCAGTGTATAAGTCTAAGTGCTATTGCTTTTCCTTCCTTCCTTCCTTCCTTCCTTCCTTGGTGGTGAAGTGGTTAGAATACAGTATTGCAGGCAAACTCTGCCCATAGCCTGGTGTTCGATCCTGACCGGCTCAAGGTTGACTCAGCCTTCCATCCTTCCGAGGCCAGTAAAATGAGGACCCAGATTGTTGGGGGGCAACAGGCTGACTCTGTAAACCGCTGACAATTTCAGCTGGGGCTTATTTTTGGGGTAGGGCTTATATTACGAGCATCCTGAAAAAAAATCATGCTAGGGCTTTTTTTCCAGCTGGGTCTCATTTGGGGGGAAAATACGGTAGTTTATAAAAAACAGCTTTTTTGTGGTTGTTTTCTGTTTATCCATCAGTCCCAAGAAGAAAAGCAGACGCCCCCAGTCAACTTGCAATCCACCTTATCCCAACACCTGGAGGGCACACCTGGATTCAGAATGGCTTCTCCATTCTAAGCCCCTCCCCCCCTGGGCGGAGCTTGCCCTTTAACTCCACCCCCTCCCCAGGCCGCTCACCTCAATGGTGGGCAGCGTTTTGTTCGTCTCGCTGCTCCCTTCGCCCAGAATGCTCCCGGCGGACCGTCCTTCACACTGGTACCGGAAGCGCATCCCTCGCTGCTTCGGTTGCTCGATGATCACCAGCTCGGGGGGGTCCCGCATGGCGTCTTCCAGGGGCTCTGGGCCCCCCGTGGGGCCCCCCGAAGGACCGGGATCTGGCCAAGGAGCATCCAAGTCCTGGCTGGGGGAAGGGGGCAGGGGGGGCATCCCCCTTGAGATCAGCTGGGACCGCAAGGACAAGTTATTGAGGCTCTGGGACAGCTGGGAGGGGAAGGAATCTCGGGGGGAACTCGGGGCGGGGGGGCCTGGGACCCCGAAAGGCTCCAGCCCATTCTGCAAGAGGCTCATCCCTCCGGCTCTCTGCATCTCGCCTGGGGGGGTGAAGTTGGTGCTTCTGGGAATTAGCTTGACTGGCCCGTTCAGACAGGCCCGGGCAGATCCTGGCTCCTCATCAAAACCATCTTCTTTAATCAGCTCATCTATGATTGCTAGAAAAAGAAGAGGAAGAAGAGGAAGAGGAAGAGAAGAGAAAGGCTGGGCCAGCAGTTGGGACCAACTTGTTCGTCCACGCTCTGCTTTGTTGGCGGAGCTGCAAATTAGCTGACTCCCCATAAATCGTGGCTTGCAAACCACAACTTATCAGGTTCAGATAACTGGCTGAGCAAGCAAAATAAAACCCCATAGGATGGTTTAGTGGAGACCACATCCAGCACCCATAGCTTGTTTAACCAGCTTTTCCTGAATTGTGGGGTCCTTTGGTGCTATCTGAGCTTGCAGATGTTTCATGACCCAACTAGGTAACATCATCAGTGCTAGAAAGGAGGACGACGACGATGATGACTGTGGTCTCCATGGTGCTCTCTGAGCTTGGTGGTTTTCTTGACCCAACTAGGTAACATCATCAGTGCTAGCATCATCACCTAGCATTGATGATGTTACAGAGTTTGGTCACGAAACATCTGGAAGAACACCACCAAGCTCAGAGAGCACCAAGGATCCCACAATTTAAGGGGTCCTACAGTTGATCAGTTGATGGCTATTCTGGTTCTTCCTGTTCAGATGGATGACCTCACCCACCCAGCCCTTCCATGGAGATGCAGAATAAAAGCAGAGAGAAAAAGGGGAGCTTCAAGCCTCAAACTAATAACTCAGTTCGGTCAAGAATAATCTCCTTACCTGTCCTTGGCAGCATCCCTTTTTAACCCCCCCAGGTGCTTACCTAGTTCATCTGCAAAAGAAAAAGGGAGAAAATTATTATACGAGGTACTATCTATTCCTCGTGTTTGCAAGCACCCACATCAGCTTCTCATTTAGCTCGGCCGTTGACAAGATTTGAATACGGTTGGTCCTCAACTTACAAGAGTTCATTTAGTGACCAATCTGAAAAAACGTGACTTATGACCGTTTTTCATAGCTACGACCTTCACAGCGACCACACAGCCAGGTGATCAAAATTCAGGCGCTCGGCAACTGACTCATATTTAGGACGGACGCAGTGTGCCGGGGGTCACGCAATCCTCCTTTGCGACTTTCTGACCCGCAAAGTCAGCAGGGGAAGCCAGATTCATTTAACAACCGTGTTCCTCACTTAACGACTGCAGTGAACAACTGTGGCAAGCAAGGTTGTAAAATGGGGGCAAAACTCACGTTCAAAAAAATGTCTCACTTAACAGAAATCTGGGGCTCAATTGCGGTCGTAACCCGAGGACTGCCTTTTAAAGCAAGATGCTGAAAATCCTTACCAGAAGTTTCTCCAGTCTGATGCATCGTGGATAAGCCGGAAGCTGCAAGCAGGGGGCCTGTAAAAATATATATATGAAAAAATAAGAATAAAACAGAGCAAGATGCTTGCAGGCGTTCATCCTTGTCCTCACAATTTGATCCTGCAGTCTGGATTCCCCCTCATAAATCAGGCGTAAATTAAATGAGAAGCTCACCTTTGGTTACAGTAGTGGCCAAAATTGTGGACATCTTTTGGGAAAAGTGTATTTTTGAGGTTGGATGGCTAATAACACCACTTTTTTGGGGGGGAGTAGTACCATAAAATTATATATCAGTGGAAAGATAATTTAATCAAGAACGTAATGCAACATCGTTTGTTCAATTATCTGTACTGTATTCTATGAAAAGTTACAGCCAAATAGCCAGAAAATGGAAGCACAACTTGCTTAGGTTGATCTCAGGTAGCTTTCCTTCATCTGATGGTAGCCAATGAGCATTTAGAGAGCCAGTTGGGTGTCCTCTTGTTTTGGCAATGAGCCAATCAGATCACGGTAGGATCCAGTTATTGATGTCATGTATTGAAGCTGAGAGGAGGACATTTGTCAGTGTGTTATGTGGTCGCTATCCATGGAGAAGCCAGATTCACTTAACAACCGTGTTACTAGCTTAACAACTGCAATGATTCATTTAATAACGGTGGCAAGAAAAGTTGTAAAATGGGGCAAAATTCACTCGACCGCTGCCTTGCTCAGGAACGGAAATTCTGTTTTCAAATTGTGGTCGTAAGTTGAGGAGTCTTAGTGATACACGAAAACACATTTTAGCCTTCTGTATTTTGTGAACTCAGCCTTAGTCTGTATTTGAGGTGGAGCGAATGACTTTGATGAGGATATAAGTTGCTTTTTCATTAAAACTCATAAAAAGCCCATTAGCTGGAGTTGGAGCCAACCCAGATCCCCAAATTCATGCATCTTTTATTATTTGCATAGATTGTCCACTCCGGCAACTCTCTCAGGGCTTACAACCACAATTCCAGTTAAACACAATACAAATAAACAATATATAAAAATAGCAAGAAACAGGTGCCTAAAACCACACGCCGTTTTCTGGATCCGGATAGAAGGAAAACCAATTCCAGAGTCTTTCTTCCAACCTGTAACCCATTTGTCACAGGAAGAAAAAGAGAATGGCATCAGCAAGGTAGAAGGATTCAATAAATGATGTAATTTAACCAATACAGGAGAATATTTGTAGCCTAAGGAGTGGAACTGGTAGGGTCCTTGATGCTCTCTGCAAGAAAACAACCAAGCTCAGAGAGCACCAAAGACGCCACGATTTTGTAATTGATATCCCACTTTTGTAACCTCTCTCCCTCTCCCTGACACACACACACACACACACACACACACACACACACGGTTGTACATCACTCAGAGTCTTTGGATCAAGACAGTCCGAAGATATTGTAAAATGAGAAATTCAGTAAAGAAAGCAAGCCCTATGGGGCCCTGCGTGTTCTCTGTGCTTGGTTGTTCTCTTGCAGACCTTTCATCACCAAACTTGGCAACATCATCAGTGCTAGGATGGAATGGGATTTGCAGCATAGAGGAGAAGAAGGGAGGGAGGGAGGGAGAGAGGGAGGAGTGTGAGGTCCTTGGTGCTTTCTGCGCGTAGTTGATTTCTTTGTGGACCTTTCATTACCCAACTAGGTAACATGATCAGTGCTAGAAGGGAGTGGGGTTTGTGGGTAGGAGGAGGAGGAGGAGGAGGAGGAGGAGGAGGAGGAGGAGGAGAACTGTAAGTTCCTTGGTGCTCCCTAAGCTTGGTTATTTTCTTGTAGATGTTTCTTTACCAAACTAAGTAATGTCATCAGTGCTAGAAGGGTGGAGGTTTGTGGAGAGGAGGAGGAGGAATAGAAGGACTGTGGGGCCCTTTGGGCCCTCTGAGCTGGGGGGATTTATGGAAGACGTTTCATGACCCAACTAGGTAACATGATCAGTGCTAGAAGGGAGTGGGGTTTGTGGGGAGGAGGAGGAGGAGGAGGAGAACTGTAAGGTCCTTGGTGCTCCCTAAGCTTGGTTATTTTCTTGTAGATGTTTCTTTACCAAACTAAGTAATGTCATCAGTGCTAGAAGGGAGGAGGTTTGTGGAGAGGAAGAGGAGGAGGAGGAAGAGGAGGAGGGGGAGGACTGTGAGGTTCCTCGATGCTCTACAAGCTTGGTAGCTTTCTTGCAGATATTTCATTACCAAACTAGGCAACATCTTCAGTGCTAGTAGGGGGGGTGGCTCTCATTTTATATAGCCCACCCAGAAGAAGAGGCTACCACTGAATACCGGCAAACGTTAATATTCCTCGTTCACAAGCAAACACAGGTGGAAAGTGAAGCTAGAAAAATAGCCCAATTTTCTTTTGCAACAATTTATTTCCAAATGACGGGATGAGGGTGGGAGGGCCGCCTAAGAAGCCCCTTCTCCTGTGACAACACTCCTCTGCAAAACCCAGCCGAGGAAAGAAGGCAATTCTTGGAAATTAGAACATAGAACAACAGAGCTGGAAGGGACCTCGGAGGTCTTCTAGTCCAACCCCCTGCTCAAGCAGCAAACCCTCCACCCTTGCAGACAAGTGGTTGTCCAATTTGTCCTCTTAAAAACCTCCAGGGTTGCACCACCCCACAACTTCTGGAGGCACGCCCTCCCACTGATTACAGGTGGTCCTCAACGTACGACCGCCAACTGAGCCCAAAATTTACGTTGCTAAGGGAGAGAAAGTTTCTTACGTGAGTTTTGCCCCCTCTCACAACTTTCCTGTCCGCCGCTTTTTTTTTAATTGAAAAGTTTTATAAAAGTTACAATATAAACCCCAAAACCAACCAACCCTAAACCTCCCTCTCCCTCCCCCACTTCCCAGAGCTGAATACAGGGTTACAAATATAATAATCATAATCGAACTAACATTAACCAACTATATAAATAACCAAGTCCACAATGCGCTTTAACTCCCCTTTAACATAAATATAATAATAATAATAATTAAAACATAAACAAATTAGTATCCTAATTATTAAACAATAGAATATTGTTAAACAATACTAATACTAAAAATAATAATAACATCATATAATTACAACTGATAAAAATTTCACTATAATAAACTATTCATACTAATAATACTCTCAAATTTACTCGTAAGCTAAATGGAACTTTTTAGTCCCATATTTATTCTGAATATAATCTATCCATCTTCTCCAAACCGAAATGTATCTTTCTTGTGAGTGATCCTTCAAATAGGCAGAAATCTTAGCCATTTCTGCTAAATTTGACACTTTAAGCGTCCATTCTTCTATGGTAGGCAAGCAATCCTTCTTCCAATATTGCCCTACTAATAACCTTGCAGCTGTCTGCCCACTGCTCTTAAGCGGATCACTACCACGGTTTGAGCTAGTGACTCCGTTGTTAAGTGAACCCGTCTCCCCCACCTTCCTTGACTTCGCTTGTCAGAAGGGCGCAAAAGGGGATCGCACGACCCCCCCCGGGACGCT